CCGGGCGAAGTGCGCGAGATGCCGAGGAAGGCCGCCATCTCGCCCGTGGGTGAGACACCGTTCGCCACAAGGTGGGAGGGCGACTTGACGATCATCTTGCACGCCCACGGGTAGAACATGTTCATCTTGGGGCGCTGCCCGGTCTTGAGCTCGTACGCTGACTTGCCGGTGTCGCGCACGGCGAAGGTGGCGTTGGCGATGGTGGCCGCGTACACCCAGGCGTAGCCCCAGTACTGGTAGAGCTGGGCGGCGCCATGCCCCCCTGCGCGTGCCATCATCTCCCGCACGATCCTGCCGCAGGTAGCGTTCGCACGCTCGCACGCCCCATTCTGCCACGGCTCGTAGGGGCAGCTGTTGCGGAGGGTGATGCCGTACTTGAGGCAGAGCTCGCGCACGGCGCTGGAGTTGAGGACGACCTCGTTGTCGCAGAACGCAACTCCTCCGCGGAACGTGTGGCCGTCCTTTCCCTCGTTCTCGGCGAAGTACTTGCGCAGGTAGGCAGGCGTCTGGCCCTTGGTCTGCAGGATGTACGGCGTGATGGTGCTGGTGTGCTCGTCGACGACCATGAGTGCGTAGCAGTGCCCATCGACGCCTACCACACCCTTGGGCGACCAGAGGTCGTAGTGCGACGAGCCCCCGAAGCGAGTGGCCAGTGGCCGGCCGGTGCTGCGCCGCGCGTGGTACTTGGCGTTCGCCTGCAGCGCGGCGTCGTCGAGGCCCTCGTTGCGGTCCATCTTGGAGAGGTCTGGCACGCCGTCCGCGATCTTGCTGAGGTCCTTTAGCGCGTCGCCGGAGATGCACAGGGCGTGCCGCCAGAAGGTGCCATCCGTCGGGCGCCGCCCCGGCTTGCCGCGCACGATGGCCTTGGCGGCGTTGGCGCCGACGGATGCGCCGAGCGGCATCAGGTGGATGTTGAAGTCCTCCCCGAAGTAGATGGTCTGCCCGGAGGGGTAGTTGAAGCGTGGTGGGCAGAGGTCGAAGCGGACCACGATGTTCTGCGCCTTGCACTCCTTGACGCTGACGAGAGGCATGGCGAGTCCGGGCGCGTACAGCGCGTTCACCCACTCGGTGTTCACAACCTTGGTGTCCTGCGGCTTGGTCGGGTCAGCCAGCGCGAAGGCGTACGCGGTGCCGACGCCCTTCGCCTTGAGGTAGTCGTTGTTTGCGCAGCGGATGTAGATGGGCTTCTCGGGCTCGCGCCACCCGTGAGGGAAGTAGTCGGGCGTCGGGAACATGTTCATGCCCGCCTTGGAGTCGACGCCAGCGGCATACGATCCCGGCATGTTCACACCGGCGGTCGTGTCGTACGCGTCGACGACCTTGACATGCCCGACAAGCGCGTGTGCCTGCATCGCGTCCATGCGCGCCACGTACATGGCGAGCATGATGCACGTGTACGAGAGGACGAGCGGGACCGTCTTGGGCACGTCGATGTCATTCACCGCGCGGAACATGTCGCCCGCGACCTTGCGGTAGATCGGCTGGAGCGGGTCCTCCTCGATGGCGTACTCTGCTCCGCCACCTGAGCCAGTCGCCGGCCCGGTGGACAGCTCGAGGGGTAGTGCGGTGACGGACTCGACCATCACGCCCATGTTCGAGGGCTCGTCCACGGCGTCGGCCACAGGCGTGCCGATCGAGGCAGGCGAGCCCATGTAGACCGGGATGAGGCACGCGAGCAGGACAAGTAGGATGGAAGCGCCGATGTACGGGCGAGGCAGCGCGGTGACGAACGAGGTGAACTTGACCCACAGCCCGCCGCGCGCCCGTGCCTCCGCCGCATTGCGCGCCGCCGTCTTGGCCTTGAGGATGGCGGGCGTGTCGGTGGGGTTGGAGTCGGGGAAGGTGTCCTCGACCTGGTCGGTGCCGACGCCAGCGACAAAGCCGCCGACGATGCCGTCCGGGTCGAACGTGCGGGTGACAGAGTCGGCCAGCGCCGCCCGCACCTCCTCGTGGTCGGTCGCGGTGGAGTCCGACTTCTTGAAGGGGTCGTGCGGGAGGGTGCGGCCGGGGGACTTGGCGCACACCTTCTTGTACGAGGACTGGGCCATGCGCACCTTCGTCTCGTGGTCGATGCGGTCGGGGAGTTCCTCGAGCACCTTGGCGACAGGGACCCCCTTGCAGATGAGGTCGCCGATGCACTTGCCACCGTGCAACCCATTGCAGTGGGGGCACGGCTTGCGCCCAGCGGCTGCGCGGCCGCCGCGGTCCCCGCCGCCCTTGTCGGACTTGATCTGCGCCTGGAGAGCGGCGACCTGGGACTCGGCGGCCGCGAGCTTCTCCTTGAGCACGCCTTGCGAGGCAATCTCCGCCTCGAACGCCGCCTGCGCAGCCGCCTTGGCCTCGTTGGCGCGGTCCGCGTTGTCTTGGTCGAGGATGCCCTGCATCGCGAGCGTGGACGCCTTGAGGCCGTACGTCTTGCCCGATTGCGCGGCGAGTTGGCGCTGTATGCCGATCTGCACGCGCATGTTTGCGCCGAGCGTGGCCCCCTTGGCGGCGATCGCGTCGAGGATGTATTCCTCGATCACCTCGTCGGGGAGGTGCCACTGGGAGTCCTTGAGCAACTTGTTCGCCTGCTCGATGCCCGTCTTGAACTTGGCGAGGCTCGCGGACGTGAGGTCCTTGAGAGCGTCGGGGGAGTACGCCTTCTCGAGATCCGCGCGCAGCGCCTTCGTGCGCACGTTCTTGGAGTTCGTGTCCTCCGACTCGATGAGCGACTTGATCGCCGCGATGCCCTTCTTGATGTCGTCGTAGTGGTCGGCGTCCTCGTCCGCCAACATCTCGGCGAGCGTGTCGTCGTCCTTGACGGCGTTCTGCAGCGCACCGTAGAGTTGGCGCGACAGAGTCACCGACAGGTCCTTGAAGAACTTGTCGATCATGGCCGGGATGAGGCCGTCCGCAGTGCCGATGTTCTTGTAGCGCACGTGCAGCGCGACCGCCTCGGCCTCGCGCTCCGCGCCCGGCCGGATGGTGCCCACCTCGATGATGTCGAGGAGGTACTTGTGTTGCTTCGCCGCGGTCCGCAGGTTGCGGAACCACTCGTTGAACTCCCGCTCGGAGCTCTGTTTGTAGGCCGGAATCACCAGCTTGTCCGTCGACGACATGTTGTCGTAATGTCCCGGGGATCGTTGCCCCGCCGCTACCAACTGTGAAGGTCTTCAGTGACCACTCACAAGCTGTTCCAAGGCCCGACAGAAATGTACTGTCAAAACTTTGTTCAAACAAAAGTCCTGGCCCGCGGCCCCCACACCCACAATGACTATCAATCCAGGCTGCGGGTGAAGGGCAAAACCGCGCCGCTGCAGACGGTTTTTGCAAAACCGCGCCGCAGCGGTACGAAACTGCGCAGATGCAGTCCAGGGGTGGTAAGGACACTATGTGTGTGTGTGTGGCCGTAGACTAGACGGCTGCGCGGTCGTCGGTCTTCAACACTTGGTGGAACCACGTCAAGTCCATCAACAAGGCGTTTCCTGGGCTCGTTCAGTCCGAGGCGGACCCGAGCTGCTTCGTCCTCACCCGCAACAGCACGAAACTCATCGTCGTCATCTACGTGGACGACTTCGGCATCTTCCACTCCGGGACCACCGCTGGCAGGGCGCTCGCGCACGAGTACATCGAGCACTTCAACAAGCACGTCGGCAAGCCGCTCAAGGTCCACGAGGGAAAGGTGCACGAGTTCCTCGGGCTCAACATCACCAAGACGCAGACCGGTTTCAAGCTGTCTGCCAGCAAGTACATCGACACGCTGCGCGCGCGCTTCTTCCCGTCAGGCGTCACGCACGCGGGCTACAAGGTGCCCGCGGACAAGGACCTCCCGTCCATCGTCATCAGCGCAGCCGAGAAGAAGACCGCGCCCGACCCGCAGCTCCTCCAGCGCTGCCAGTGCCTCATCGGCAGCCTCATGTTCGCCACCAACGCGCGCCCCGACATCCAGTACACCGTCTCGCAGCTGGCGCGCTGCATGGCTTGGCCCGACGCGAACATCGAGGCCGCCGCCGAGCGCTGCCTCATCTACCTCATCGGCACGCAGGACCTCGGCCTCCACTACGAGCGCGTCGCCGACCCCAAGCTCTTCGGCTGCTCCGACGCGAACTGGTGCACCCGCCAGAGCACCTCCGGCTGCGCCTTCAAGATCGGCACCGCGATCATCTCGTACTTCTCCAAGAAGCAGGGTCACATCTCCCTCTCGACATTCGAGGCCGAGATCTCTGCCGGCACGCTGGCGGCTTGCGAGGCGGTCCACCTGCGCTCACTCCTCGCGTCGCTCGGCTACAAGCCCAAGGGCCCGACCATCATCAAGATCGACAACACGGCCGCGCTGCGCGTCGCCGAGGACCCGGTCATGCACGACAAGACGAAGCACATCCTGCGCAAGGAGCTCAAGATTCGCGAGCTCGTCGAGTCCGGGGAGGTCAAGGTCGAGTACGTCGAGAGCCTCAAGAACTTCGCCGACTTCTTCACCAAGCCGCTCCCGCGCAAGGAGTTCGAGTCGTTCCGCAAGGAGATCATGAACGACACCGCCTAGGACGGCACAGAGGGGAAACGCCGACTTCCCCTTCATCAAATGTAGTCGACAACCGGCAGTATGGGCGCTCCTGGAGCTCCCCGAGTCACTTGTATGTTCGTCCTCCACCCTTGAGGAGGCTGCGCAATTGTGCGCGCGATAGTAGGAGATGTAGGAGTCGTCTAGCTTCTTCAGATCCTCAGCCTCGCTACCCGATGCGAGGATGGGGGGCTGTTGAAGACCGACGACCGCGCAGCCGTCTAGTCTACGGCCACACACACACACATAGTGTCCTTACCACCCCTGGACTGCATCTGCGCAGTTTCGTACCGCTGCGGCGCGGTTTTGCAAAAACCGTTCTGCAGCGGCGCGGTTTTGCCCTTCACCCGCAGCCTGGATTGATAGTCATTGTGGGTGTGGGGGCCGCGGGCCAGGACTTTTGTTTGAACAAAGTTTTGACAGTACATTTCTGTCGGGCCTTGGAACAGCTTGTGAGTGGTCACTGAAGACCTTCACAGTCCTTGTAGTGCTTGGGCACGATGTTGTCCGGCATGGGCATGATCTGGCCGTCCACGCTCGACATGTACGCGACGCACTGATCCGTGGTGTTGCGGTAGACCGACGACGATGGGGATGCGGCCGCCGCAGCCGCCCAGATACCGAAGGGCGTGGCATTGGCGGCGAGGCGGGCGTTGAGCATGTTGTTGTACTCGCCCGTCGAGACGCCGCCGCGGCTGCGGGTGGTGCGCGGCGCAGGCGCACCCGCTGCGGGCGGGTTGACGTTGCCGTCATTGGCCGGGTCTGGCATGATCACCACCTCCTCGTCGAGGGTCAGCCCCCGGCGTGGTTGTCGGTGGTGGGGAGGAAGACGGAGTCGCCGCGGGTCACGTTGTTGTCGAGCGTAGCCTTGTCCGACTCGTCGGGCGTCTCGTCCGCGGTCACAGGCTCCGGCCACGCGCCCTCGATGTCCGTCGGGGTGAGGTCGGAGGTAGGAGCACGGTACTCGATGCCGTTCCAGAGCTCGTTGACGCAGAAGATCGCCTGCGTGGTGGTGCCGATGTGCCCCTTGCGCGGACCCTCGGTGATGACGTACTTCCAGCCGGGCGAAGTGCGCGAGATGCCGAGGAAGGCCGCCATCTCGCCCGTGGGTGAGACACCGTTCGCCACAAGGTGGGGGGGCGACTGACGCGTGGTACATGGCGTATGACACCGAGTTCCTCGGTCTGCGCCACATCGGCCGAGATGGGCAGGCCGTGTGGGGGTGGGGGAGGGGGGGGGCAGTGGGGGAAGTGCGAAGC